GAGGCTGGCGCGCAGCGCGTACTCCAAGCGGCTCCATTCCCCGCCGCCGCCGCCGCCCTGGGCCATTGGGTGCCGGAGCGGCCGGGACGCGCCGAACCGAAGGGAACCCGGGTGGCGCTGAAGCAGCGCGGGCGCGGTTCGTCTGCACGGGACCGAAGCTGCGCTCCCGCAAGCCGACGTCTCGGTCCTGAAGGCTGTGGACCGGCTGGACTTTTGGGAAGTCCCGGGCGGCTCCGCCTCTGCCCTACGGGCGCTCCTTCGGCCCAAGTCCCTCCCTCTGCTGGCAACGGAGCCACCCCCGGTGTCGCCTCCCTTCTGAACACGGGCTAATTAGCCTCGCCCTGGGAATGCGGTCGACAACCCCCAAAGTCTCCTCATGACTTCACAAAGGAAGCCCCTGGCCTGAGTTTGCAGGGCCTGAGGGGGCTGAACAAAAGCTTCCTGAGGCCGTGAATTCGTAGCCTACAGTAGCAAATAAGTCGTGCCCGCATTCTGAGAGCCAGTTTGGTGTAGTGGATGGAGTGACCTAGGCTCAAAAAAAGCAGCGTGGACATGGACATTTAGACTGGAAACCATGACCATCGACACTCTTCTATTTTTGATCACCATGTATGGATGTAATAGCTGGACAGTTAAGAAAGTTGACAGGATTCCTTTGTAATGTGGTGCTGGGCCAGATTCTGACAATCCAGATACCCTGGATTGTCAGAAAGGCAAGTAGGTCAAAGCAAGCCTGAACGATCTCTGGAAGCAAAAATGTTGAAAGGGAGGCTGTCCTATTTCAGGAACACCATGAGAAGGCAGGATTCTCTGGAGAAAAACAATGCTGGGAAAGGTGGAAGGCAGCAGGAAAGACCAAATGCAAGGATTGGATCCTTAAAAGAAACCAGAGACTTGAGTTTACAAGAGCTGAGCAGTTGAGGACAGGATATTCAGGAGATTGCTCTTCGTAGGGGCCCCATGAGTTGGAGATGACCTGATAGCAAATAACAGCAGCACTGGTATCGCAACTCCTTAAATAAAACCCCATCTTCACCCCTCAAAATCTTGTGTGTTTATGAATAATAGTGTTACCTATGTGACTTTTTAAAGGATACTGAAAAATTTATGAAGATGCCCCTGACAAAAAAATCATGCCTGGGTTGGAAAGAAAATGATGCAGTAAAGGTGTGTGGGTCACGTGCTGCTCTTGCACCCCAGAATTTTTTTTTAAGAATTGTTTTTGTTCAGCTTTGTCCCTTTTGCCCTTAGGGGTGGCAAAGCTTTAGCACTAGATGCTTTGGGCTGTACTATTACCGGTAAAGGACTGTGCTAAAGGTTCAGTACCCCTGCCCTGTGGGGAAACTTTGCTGTTTTGAGGGTTGCCCATCTGTGAATGAAATTACTCACCCTAGACCAGTGGTTCTTAACCTTTGTTACTCGGATGCTTTTGAACTGCAACTCCCAGAAACCCCAGTCAGGACAGCTGGTGGTGAAGGCTTCTGGGAGTTGCAGTCCAAAACTCCTGAGTAACCCAAGGTTAAGAACCAGTGCCCTAGACCACTGTTTTTATGGATGGATCACATAGCTAATTTTACCTATCATTCTAGATCAGAGTTCCTTAGGTAGCTGAAACAGCACTAAGGATACACTACAGTTAGCCACAAAGATGTTTTGGAGAATCGTATCAGATTTCTCAGAAGTACAATTAATCTCTGGAACACTATGAACACACATGCCATTGAATGGCTGGCTATGTTAGCAGTTGCTTACAACCAGGAGCAAAGAAAGGAGGAATGCAGAGTATCACTGACAAATTAGAAATCTGAATAGCGCTTCAAACTGCAAAGGTTTGTACAAGACTTCTGCAGTGCTGAAGAGAAATTCAATAGTGTCAGAGTAGCCTTCATAACGTTCTTGCTAACATACACATGGATAAATAATCAGATTTTGTTTGTATTATCAGTCTTCTGCATCAATTATTTCACATAACTTTATTTAAATATAATTTCTTGTTCCACAAATATTAGAGCCAGAAGTGTTAAGAATACTGCGTAGATGGTTTTTCACTGTTCGCATAACTTCAGGGTACTAGCCCAGCTGGAGGTTATGCTGGTTTAGTGTAAAAGACATCCTAGCTGGAGTGTGGCTTCATATGTAGTTACTTTGTTCTGTGAACAGATACAAATCCCAGCAGGTTCTATTCTGTTATCCTCCTCACACTTATTTAGTCCTGCTTTTAAAGGTATGTGGAGCCCACATGCACCTAGAGGAACATGCTGGTCCCAGCTTCTTCCATCACAGAAACATGACTGTCAGAAAATATAGAGATTGCTGTACCCATGTAGCCTATCTAGATAAGCCCAAACCACCCAAAATTAGGGTTCCAGCTGACATAGAGAAGATACCCAGCTCTTCTTTTTGGAAGGTAAATCTGCTAAAGATAGTTAGATTGCCAAGTGTTGAAAAAAGTCCAGGATGCGCTTTGCATTTTTTGTGTCCCAGTTATGTGATTTCAAAGGTCCTTCACACACAGTAATGTATTTCTGCACCATTTTCTCTCCTGTCTCTCGGAAGTCCAAAACCTGGCTGTGTAAGCTGTCGGGCGGGTCATCACTTGACTCTGCACCTGTGTTCTGCCTTTGTTCCTTTTCTTTTTCACAGTACTTTAGTCCCCAGTAACACATTTCTCCGCAGTACATCATGGCCAAGAGATGGATGTCACTAAATATGCCTGCCAAAGAGAAGTTAAAATTAAGCAAATAAGGGAACAAAATACATTTTACTTGGTGTACATACTTTTCCATTGATACATCCTATCAAGATTAACACTGAACACCTAGTCTTGCTAAATTTTGGAAGCTAAGTAAGATTGTGCTTGGTTAATACTGAGATGAGATTCCAGTGGGGAAGAGCAAGTACTGTCTATGGCTCAGTGGCAGAGGGTGTGCTTTATATGCAGAAGGTTATAGGTTCAATCCCCAGCATTTCTAGGTAGGATTAGAAAAGAATCCTGCGAGAAACTGAAGAGTTGTGGTTGATAAGAATCGACAACAGTGGGTTAGATAGATCAGTTGTCCAACTCGGTATAAAGCAGCTTTCTACAGACAAAACCGGACTACCTGCAACTCTTCCTCCATGCCCTCTCTAGAGAGAAAGGGCCTGGACCATGTCCTTGATTTCCAGGACCAGACAAGACCGTCAACACACCTGCCTGCCTGCAGTATAATATCCTTGGTGTAACATTTTATGTAATCTACTTTGGGAAGCCGTTGTGGGTGAAAAACAGAATATTAAAAAAATAGCCTAAAATGAAAATGTGGACACAATCCAGATGAAATGCAGAGGGACAGTATGGTGTCCAAACAGGACTGGAGGGACACCGATTGAAATCTTACTTAGCCAGGAAACATACTGGGTGACGTGGCCCAGTCACATGTCAATCTAACCTATCTCATAGGCTTATTGTGAGATGCTGAGCTTCTTGGAAGAGAGGCATGATAAAAGTACAATAGTGCACTAGTGATTTATTTCCAGGCACCATTGAAAGTACTGGTTATGACCTGTAAGGAGCTATATGACTTGGGTTCAGGTTACTAGAAGGACCACTTGCTTCCATACAAACCCATTTGGGGGTTAAGATCTGCAGAAGATTTCTGTCTTACAGTCCCACCACCTTCAGAGGTCTATCTGGTTGGGACTTGAGGAGGGCCTTCTCAGTGGCTGCACCCAGGCCCTCGAACTTCTTACCAAGAAACAGTGAGTAAGTAATATTTATTATACTTGATGACAAGGAAGATAAAAATACATTATTATTTAAATAAAATCACAATATCAAATAATGCCGAAATACATTGGGCAAGACATGTCATCATCAATGTGCTATGTGGCTCTTTTAAGACACTGAAGTTGAGTTTTGGGTTAACCAGCAGCACTGAAAGATGTAAACACTCTTAAAATATCACACCAGTCACATAAGATGAAATTTAGAGACACATATAACCATAAGTATACTACCACAACTTTCCTACAAGGTAAAAGTTAAACAAGAAATCTCTTAACAAGGGCGGGGACACTCAAAGACCTTATGTGGTCAAGAAGCTGCGGCAAGCTATAGCGGATCTGCAGTATTTGGCCACTTTGCTAGTCATGTAAGAAACCTTGTCAGAAGCAGCAAAATAAAATTTGTCAAATCTCCCCAGACATTTTTGAAAGATGGGGAGATCTTGATAAAAAGGACAGCATAAGAACATATGCTCCACTGTTTCCGCAACACTACCATCACAAGGACATATACAATCAGAATGGGATATACCTTGAAATCTCCCTTCCAAGAAACTAGGGGGCAAAACATTAAATCTGGCTAAGGTAAAACCTCTTCTAGATTTAGGTGGTGTTATACTGGTCAAACAGGTGGGAAGTATAAAGGCGTTAATTTTTATGACACCTGTTTTGTCCCTAACCCTAAATGTTCTTGAAGTTCTATGTCCCAAATCCTTTGCTTAATGGCTGATTAGGCATTAGCATAGACCATCACTATGACGGTATTGGGGGAAAGACCAAGAAACAGGTTTGCCCTCCTCCTGACATTGTGGCAGCAGGTGGATCTTTCTTCCTTAAGCTGGTCTTGGAGAATTAAGAGTCCCCAGTTTCCCTGTGGATATGCTGGTTCTCATTGTTTTAAGTTAAATTAGCACCACTATTTTAGTTAGTTTAAAGGAGTTTTAATTCTAATTGTATTTTAACTACATAGCTGAATTTAACTGTATTTTAATCTCTGCCATTTTATTGCATTTTAATCTGCTGTTTTAAATTGTTCTGCAAGCTGCCTTGGGTCCCATTTCTGGGAGAAAGCCAACATATAAATGAAGCGAATATCATAATCATCCTCGACAAACAGATAAAAGCAAACATGTGAATTAGCTTTACTTCCACATTTATTTATCCTTATATACCCATGTTGCTTGGTTTGTTGTTCAGAATACATTTTACCCCACAAATCCGAAACTGTTCCAAACTAAAGGAAAAGCTGCAGAGAGTGCTGCATCAAAGGAGGAAGGAACCAGGGGCAGGTTGGGGAAGAGTGTTGATGGAAACGGACAAGACTCACACAGAATGAAGCAGCACTTCTGCCATTAGGTAAGCTAAGAAGTGCTCCTCTTCATTACAGAAGTTGCCCACTGTGGCTTTCCTTTATGTTCACCCGACCCACGGCACATGTGGACAGACATTCAGACTTATGGCAACTCTTTCCAGAGTATTCTAGATATGGAATACTTGGAAGTGGGTTACCGTTGCTTCCTTCAGGGGCCACTCTGATACTGTGCAGTTTGCCCAAAGCTAAACAGGCTGGCTCTTTTATATACAGTGGTGCCTCACTTTACGATTGGAGAGTGCTACATCAAAGGAGGAAGGATCGTAAATTGCGATCGTAAAACGATGGTCTAAATTGGGGAATTTTGCTTTGTGATGATCGGTTCCCTGCTTCGGGAACCGATTCTTTGCAAAACGATGTTTTTCTAACAGCTGATCGGCAGTTTCAAAATGGCTGCCGGGTAATTAAAATGACTCCCCGCTGTGTTTAAGAACGCATTCCTCACTATACAGGCAGCGAAGATGGCCACCGTGTGGAGGATCTTCGCTGGACGGTGAGTTTTTACCCCATTGGAACGCATTGAACGGGTTTCAATGCATTTTAATGGGGTTTTTTATTTCGCTTTACGATGTTTTTGCTTAACGGCGATTTTCCTGGAATGGATTATCGTCGTTAAGTGAGGCACCACTGTATATAGAATGTTACATAATTTATCCGTCTTAGCGTATGCATATTCTATTGCTTTAGTGCAACTCCTCTAGAAAAAAATCTGAAACTACTGAAGTGTGCTACAGCCATTTACACTGTGGTAAAAAGTATGATGATACTGCTCTAACAACTGGGTACATTTGGTTTTTGGATAGGATTGCTAATGCAAAAGCTGAAAACTACTGTGATACACCCTGTATTCTTTCGCCTTAGCTTTTTCATTACAGCTAACAGTGCTTCCTTTCTACCTATTCTTCCCATTTCTTTTAATTCTGTTGGGGGGGGGGAAGAGGGAAAAGTGGCAAGAGAAACATGATGGATAATACTTACCTTCACAAACCAGTCTAGCTGTATTTGCATCCTCATACAAAAATCCCTCATTTGGGTTATCAGAACTTCTGAAGCCAAGCATTTTCACTAAGTAATGGACTCCACTGTAAAGAAACTAGCAAAAAAGAGAACCTTCAGAATTGCACAGTCTCTACAGCAATGTTTTAAAATCTTTATTCATATCAGAGCACTGCACAATTTAAAATTGGGCCTCTATGAAATATAAGTAAAATTAAAAAGTTAAAATGTTAAGATAGACTACTTTGGAATAGAAACAGGCTACTTCAATTTCAGCCATTTGCTAGATCTTTTGTACATGTAGTGCAGTATAAATTGCATGCACTTAAGTGCTGCATTGATTTAATATCTCCATAGCCACAGAAAATGTGCACTGTATCCAAGTAGCCCCATATTAATTGATAATTCTTTGATCTACCTACTTTGCTTCAATGTCTGTTAAATAACTTACAATTGGTCCAGCCAGAATCTTCTCCTCGTGGGAGGAGACACTCTCTGGCATGCATCCATTCAGCAAGGTGTGTCATTTTTCTTCTCCATAGATTTAGCCTAGTCTCTTCTGGTTTAATAATTTGGAACCTGAGATATGCACAGAAAACTTCTCCTCAATTTTAGCTGTTGTGTAGGGGGTTGGGGTTCATGAAGTGAATGGTTTTGGTGCTGTAGTTCTTTATTTAATTCGTTACTGGCTAGGACCTCTTTATGTACTTCCACAGCGGCAATGACAGCAAAATAATACTTTTTCAATAGAGGCCGGCTTCAAGCAACCAGTAATAATCTTACATTATTCATTAACAGCAACATCTACTTGTTTGACTTATACTATATGGCACTAGCATATTCTGCTGTGGAGTAGCACAGGGCAAAGCTACTGTTCTTATTGTGTGCACTGTTGTCTGACCTAGCTACCGTATTTTTCGCTCCATAAGATGCACTTGACTATAAGACACACCTTCCATTTGAGGCGCCATCAGGGGTGAAGGGGTGTGCGTGTGGAGGGGGGGAGTCAGGCGTTGTCATGATTTCCCCTCCTTTTCCGGCACTCTAAACACGTTTTCTTCTCCCGGATCACTTTCCTCCCATATGTTTTTCCTGAACATTACTCTTTCCATTTCTTTCAACTGTCCTCCCTCCTCTCTCGTGAGAAAAACATTATCCCCCTCTTCTCCTCCCACTTTCCCCTCCTCAGTCCATTTCTCTGTCTCATGACGCTCCATCTCTCCTTCTTCTTCTGTCACTTTGAACTTTTTTTAAACAGTATTCGCTCCATAAAACGCACATACTCCTCCCCCTTTTTTGGTGCATCTTAAGGAGTGAAAAATACAGTGATTTCCAAAGTATGTTATTTCTGGTGGCAACTTTCTGTTTGGTGTTCAGACAATGTTTTTCGTAGGCTTGTTAATTCCCAGCTAACTTTGAGCTTCCTTTCTGCATCTCTGGCAGCAGTTTGTTATGGAAGGGGTTTTATAGTTTTTAAGCTTGTACAAAGAGACTATTACTGGATGTTTCCTTGTGCAAGCCTGCAATTTGTCTAAACACCAAGATTGTTGCACAAGTAAAGGGAACAAACAGGATTCTACTTCATCTTTACTACTTTAGATGTGTTTTATGTTTTTAAATGTAGATTACACCAATGTCTGGCTCATGCGATCCAGTAAGGTTTGCTCCAGTGCACTGTTTACATCTGGCTCAATAATATCCTCTTGCATACACACTATTTTGTACTTGACTTTCAGGTGATGGACTTTAGAGTCCCAGTAAAAAATGTACATAACATAAGCTTGAATTCCGCCCACCTAAGCCAAGCCCTTTGTGTCAGAAATGCACTTTGTTGCCCTTTGGATTCTATATTATTCCTTACAACTATGAGAAAATAATAGATACTTTCATAACATTGAGTTCATGTTGGATTTATAGCAGCAGTTCACAATATGTAGATGCTTCTGATACAAAGCTGGTTCACAGAATAAAAAAACATTCAGAATCCTATTATTTACACAAGTGTAAGTGCAATGGGATAAATCACGGCAGTAAATTACCAGTAGTTATTGAATCACCACTTATATTCCTCATTGCACACTAAGCATGTAACTGGTATGTGACAAGTAATTGTTAACATCAATTTGCAACTGTGATATATGCCACTGCCAGTGTACATGAAAGTAGGATACTAAACATCAAGGCAAGAGTTAATTGGTAGGAATCCTTCACATACCAATGCTACATTAATAGAGTTTTGAGTGTTCCAAGCCCTGAATTCTCTAATAAATGGAGTTTTGAGTGTTCCAAGCCCTGAATTCTGGTGAGGTTGTGCAACTGATAGGAAGTTGTACAGCATATTGCTCTAGTAATTATAAACACTGCATCATACTGTAGTGGTGCTAAGCCTCTCCAAGCCACAGGATTATGGAAAATATCTATATGAACCTAAACACTCTGGCTTTTACAAAGTTTGTAGAAACATCAACAAATTTAGTACCATTCAGATTATAATCAAATTGTTTTGATCTGACCATTCAAACTATCAATTTAGATTTCTTCAGCAATTATTATAACTTCTTTAGAACTATACAAGCTGAAATCCTATACCATCAAGGGTGGGCAAAGTGCAGCCTTCCAGACACAATTAAACTACAACGCCTAACATTCTGCAAGGCTAGCTATGTTGGCCAAGGCTGATGGGAGTTATAGTCCAACACTTTGGAGAGCCACACTTTGCTAATTCCTGCTATACAAGAATACTTGACCTGCAGCATTTCCCCACTGAACTCAACAAAACTTACTAGAAAGCAGACAAGCATTTTCACAATTACTGCTACAGGAGCTGTCGGTTTTACTTGATCTGCTTTTAAACAGAAGGGTACGTGTGTGTACCTTTTTAAGTGAATCAGTTTTCTCTTCCAACCATTCTTTCCTTTCCTTGACTGTGTGGCAAAACATGTAGAGTAAAGCCCCTCTCCTCCAGTAAAGGCATTCAAGCAATTCCATACCAAGCACTGTGAGTGGCTAAAAAAAGAGAGGAGGGGGGCAGAGATACCCACATCAAATAAAATTCTTTGACCTTCAATAAAAGAGACAATTGCAGTATATTTATGACCTGTTGGATGAGGAAATTTCTACACACAGTAGAAGAATAAAAATTACAGAAATAGAGAAATCAATTGAAGACAAGAGAACTTTTCTATTGTTTGTGTTGCACATGGAATTTAAAAAATGCACAAGCAATAGGGACCCCAGGCACAGTACTCACTTCTTGGGATGTGCTGCTTTCAATGACCAATCTTTCTGGCTCGGAAAGTGCATTGATTAATTCCTCAACTTTTCCCAAAGAAGACTCTTCTGGAAAGTCTTCATTGACAAGCTGGTTTTCCTCAAAATATGTGATATCCAGCAGAGCCTTCAGAAAGGTGGAAAAGCAAAACTTCTGTATTACTCAATCCTATACGTGTTCTGCTCAGTCCTTGCATAGAGAGTTTTTCCTTGTCAAGGTAAGCTCTGGCTTATACTAAGCAAAAACAACTTTTAGGATGGGGATTTACAACTATTTCTCCCCACTCTCTCAGGGTTCACCCTAAGATGCTCAAACCAAATGTTTTTTGCAGAAGGGATGGGCCAGGTGACTTTCACCCTCAACACTGAGTAATCACTGCCAGTCATTATAACCCTTTAATTATGGACCAGAGCTTCCAGCATGAGTTATGGGCCAGAGAGACTCCTTGTACCTCTTTTTAAAAGCAAGAACTTAGAAACATAGCAAAGTATTGTAGTTTTTTTGTATAAAATGCTTGCTGTTCCCTGAATTATTATGCAGTATTGATCAGCTCATCAGTTTAGGGCTCTCCTGCAAACAAAGAATTTTTGGTCTGCCAGATGTTGTTGATAAACTATTAATCTCAAAATGCTTTAGTTTCACTACAAAAATCCTTCTTTTGCATTCTCTGTTCCCCTTCCTTGTAATCCATCTCCTAACCTCTGTTTTTAACTTTATGGCTGGAATCTAGTAATAGGACTTACACTGTGTAAGGCTGATGATATCATCAGCCATGGCAGTTTGTGGACATTAAAAGCTTCCCTGTGTTCCATGGCCTCCAATTCCTTCCCTGTGGGGAAAGGGATCCCAAGGAAACCTCCAAGACTTTCTGGGTAAGGTGGGAACTGAACATTTTTAACTTCTCCCAAACCACTGTGGCTGTTGACATTATCAGCTTTATAACAGCAATAAGTATTGCCACTGGATTTCTAGTAGTAAACACAAGGAGCCAAAATTCAACTTTCTGGGATAAATGAAGAATCTCTGCGTGTAGTCCAGTGTAAGCCATAAGCACAGCTGGAGCCTCCTATGGTGGTGCTGGTAGCAGCAGCTGAGTTTTCCAGCAACAACTCTGGATTCCAAGTTGTGAGAATGTGCAAGAACAGATTTTATTGCAACCAAGGAACCTACAGATAGAGGAACAATGCCCCTAATTCCCTCTGGGAGCTTTCTGGGGGTTGTTTCTCTGTTGCTAGCCCTACCCCAGGTTAATATTCTTTCAAGAGCCCCCTTGTTAAATCCACAACGGGCCCTGAGACTCCTGGTCTCCGAAAGTGGGAGGGGAGAGGATGAGTCCTGGGCCTGGATGAAGCCTTTGCAAGGTTGGCCTAAAGACAGGAATTATTATTGGCCACTGCTCTGCTCCTCCTGGAGTCTCTTCTGCCTCCTGCACTTGTGCTTTTACCAACACTGCTACAGGTGGGTAGCACTACTCCTGTTAGAATTTTAAAATTTATTTTTTTCTCCCAATACACATTCTTAGTAAGTTTCAATTTTACGTGAAACATTCTTCCAAGTAGGGTTAGAACTACTGTCTAAAAAGCTGAAAGTTCATTACTGCACAATACCTGTGTATAAAGCGGCAAAAATCTGGAAAGTGTACAGTTTGCTCCAGGTTCTTTGCAAAGGTCTGCTAGTCTTTCCAGTGTAGCAGCAGCCTGTGTTAAAAATGTATCTGTTGGCAAGGAAAGAGACAAATAACCTATGCAATCAGCATATTTTATATATATA